ATCGACTGTACTTCCAAAAAATTAGCCTCTAACTAAACTACCTTCTAATTTCAAATTCATAATGAAAGTTTTGGAGTTTTCTCCTATTTAAAATAAAGTCTCTACTTTTGGCCTTTTCCAAGCATCCCCTGTCATAACAACTACGGCCTCCTCTCATGGCGGGATATAACTCCAAATAAATCTAGGAGCTACAATCATCTTTTCTTATTCTGCCAGGGATCAAGTTCCTTGATACTTAATGTCATAGTAGTTGACTGGAGCCAGAATGCCTGGGTTCAAGTCTGATGGTATCATTTACTTCCTCTGTGACTTTAGACAAGAAAAGTCTCTTTAATTTAACTTTTTTTAAAATAACATTTTTTATTGAGTTATAGTCATTTTACAATGTTGTGTCAAATTCCAGTGTAATTTAACTTTTATAGCTATCTAGTGAAGAGTATTAGTAAGAGCTTCCTCATAGGGTGGTTGTGAGAATTAAAACATTTAGTATTTGTAAAACATGTAAAAAGTAGTTGGCTCAATGGTTTGTCATAATAATAATGAAAATAAATTTATTTTACTTACACAAATAAAATAATAATGTAAATGTTACTTATAAGAAATAAACAAAAATAATGTAAATATTACTAATAATGCTTTATTTAATTTAAAATTTAAAAATTTTAATAAGTTATTATTATTATTGTTTTCTAGTAATTCCCCAATGCAGAGACTGTGACAAATTTTCATGATCCTCTTCCTCAATCTGCCTTAATTTATGAAGTATGAAACTGTTGAATGTATTTCTGTTAGCAGGAAATCCCTGATTTTGAAGCAGACACATGATTCTCCTATTAGTTATTCAAGTTTTACTCTCTATATTGTAAAAAATCCTTGAGGGGCAGGGATTATGTCTTCTATCTCTTTTACGTTGGTTATACTTTAATCAAGTACCCTTCTCCTAATACTTGCTTAATGAGCAATGAATGAATTAATGAATGAGTTAGTGAGTGAATACATGGCCTTAAACCAGACAGTATAGACAGGTGCAATTCAGCCTACAGGAACAGGCACTTTTCCCTTAAAGGTGATACAGTTGGGTCTGGCTCACAGAGGCCACAGAGACCCTAGTCTCACACACTTGACCTTCTGCCAGACAGCCTGGACTTGCAGTGAAGAGTTGGTGGGAATATGTATCTAAGAAGCTGAAGGAGGAAATAAGCAATGAAAAGAATGGGCTACCGATCTGGAGTACGAAGATACTTGTAGTAAAGCATTAAAAATTTTGAGTTTGTGCTGCTCCTTAAAGTTTATTTTATCACTTTGGGAGTAACAAGGTGATAAACTTTTACCTTAAAAAAAAACTCTGGACTTAAAAAATACCGTATGTAGTGCATGTGTACTCTCCAATCCTCTGAAGTGCTTATGAGAATAATAGGTTTCCGAGTTTTATGTAAAATCCACCTGACAAATATATGCAAACCTCAAGTAATATTACATTCTGAAGCAAAAAGAAAGTCTTAACCGTATATGTTTAACTTACAATGTACACGAGGAGGTGTCCCATCAACTCTAAGGATGTTCCTTAGGAATCAGTCTCTAAAGGATAGCAAATTTCAAGGAACTAATTACTTTCTTACAATTTGTCAAGGAAAAAATGCATTAGATCAGAATAAACTATGTCTTGTAGATTTCCTAGATTTTAGCAGTCCTTTGGTTTACTTTCACAACACACACACATACATGTGAACCAGTCTCTCTAGAATACTATTGCAAAATGCTGGATACAAATTCAAGAAAAAAATTTTTTTCAATGCTTAAATAAGATTTTGCACAGATACACAGACAGGTAGCAAAAAACCTGCACAAATATGCTTTTAAGTTGCCAAGGAACATGACTGAAAGCATATCTTGTCATTTCATCTCTCTGGCGGTCTCACTTTTGTTACCACACTAGAGATTAGAAGGGTGAGTTCATGTTCATAGTTGCCCTACAGTGTCAACAAGGAAACTTTAAAAGCCAGATGAGACGTTGGCTAAGGTAATATTCACCCATCCCATCTGAATATTCAGCAAACATATATGCCTGGAAAACTGAACTCTGGGATTTGGAGACAAGTGAGATTGGAAATAGTTTCAACAGATGCCTGGATTGATTCTATTTAGAAAAACACAGGAGCAAGAGAAAAGACAGAGACACTAGAATTCTCCAAATGGCAGGCAATAGAGTTATTTTCTAGAAGCAGGGTGTGCATTTGTGCATGAGGGAGGTTGCGGAACACTAACGCAGAGAGGGAAAGGTGAAGGTTAAAAGGAGGAAGAACGCAAAGAGAACTGCCAAGTGATTCACTCCTTTCTCCAAGAGTCTGATTCGTGCCAGACAAGGCAAGAGAGTGCATCAGACACAATTCTATTTGTGATAAACAATTGGTCTGAACCTGACAGCATGAGGGAGGGGATTGTACTATTTACTTGGTGGAGGCATGTTAACTCTTTTAGAACATGAGGTTACTTTTCATTCCCTGGAAGAATCGTTGTTTATACAATGGACCCTCCAAATTCTCAGAAAGTCTATGTAGCCACACAAGTAATCACATATTTATGCCTTACATTAAAAACCCCATCTCCAGCAGCACAGACACGTGCGCAGTGTGCCAAATCACTGAACTGTTTAAGCTGTGATGAATTTAAGAACCAAGAACTCTCTAGTCCAGCTGACCATAGATCTTATATCTGTTACATGTAAGCTTCGGACAACTTTACATTTATTGATACACACGTGTAAACACACACACATAAAGAATGAAATAAAGTAAAACTTTATAACTACATAATTTTTTGAATGTTATCATCTTTTTCAAAATCTTTCCAGTAAGTTACTCAGTACTGACAAGTTGGACTTCTGATTTTTGACTGGAATTTCTCTCTCTCTCTGGTCCTGTGAAATGTGATATTTCAATCGATGGTTTTTTGGTAAATAAACCGAGAGACCTCTGTCCCACACAATACTACATGGTTAAAAACAAAAACAAATCTCTACTTTTCCTTTGAGTTGAGCTTTAAAAAAATCAGATTCCCAACAAAATGCAAAAACGCATCAATGCAAAAACAGAGATGTAAAATGCTATTTAAAATACTGACATTATTGCATAACTTGATGAGAAGGAATGCTGAACCTGCAATGAAATGAACCCGGTGTACATCTGTGCATCCTACATTTTCAGTGTAACCTATTATTATAACACTTATGCAGTCATAAATGATGTATACATGGCATGTCTGGGCATACTGCACACAGAATTTTTATGAATGAATACACAAAAACGCTCATAATTCTAGAAAATGGAAAGCAGCATACTATTTTGAAAGCGGTCTTTAAGCCCTGGAAGCAAACAATGAGGCAAATGGTCAGTGTCATTTGGTGCCATTCAGGGCAACTGTATTCCCAAGACACTAGCAGAGTGCGTTGGAAACAGCCATGAAGCTCTTTCCTTAGAGACTCGTTCGTTCTCTCTCTCAGGAACCGTGTGCTACAGAACGGAGACCGTGCACGCTTGGAGAGCAGAATGCATGCACGTCTCTGTGTTCTGAGGACTGTTCATATATCAGAGACATCACACTCCCCAAATCCCGTCCCACAAGTGTGTGCATGTGAGTGTGGCATTTACCAACAAATGAACAGAAGGCAACACGAGCTCATCTCCTAGAAATAACATTTCCCATCCCTTTCCAGGCAGACTGCTTGGAAGATTTTCGGGGGGCTGACACTTGGGCGCCTTCCCCACGGGGACGGAGCCTTACATTAATAACCCTCTCAGGGTTAAGTCAGCTTTGTCTATAAGCCCACTCAGTGCCATATGGCAGTTTCCAATTCCTTTAGCAACTCAAGTCTGGCTAGGCTGCCCGCGATGATGCATTCTTAAAGGAAGACCCCTTCGGGGAGCAGCAATGCCCCCGCCACTTACCTAGCTCCCACCGACCCCGCTCAGCCGGCAGCACGGGCTCGGGCGCCACAAAGGGCTGTGGGATTCCCCG